ATTACAAAAATGTTTTATAATTTAACAAATTTATTAGAATATGAAAGTAAGTGATTAAATAAAAATTAAAAAAAAAAATAGCAAAAAATAATTTTTAATAATTTAAAAAAAAATATCGATCTATGGTATGTATTATAAAATACAGTCACCCCTTTCTATTGCAATAAAAAGGGGGGAAACTGCCGGATAAACTATTTTCCCAAATCTGAAGATTTGAGGAGATCACATGTTCTATTTTTATTACACATGGCATAATTTGTTTATTTACTAAATCCCCATTTATCTCAAAAACTAATATTATGCCGTTTCCCCCTTTCTATTGCAAAGGCCCCATATTTGCCCAAAATCCTGCAAGCACGAATCCTAACACTATTGGCGTACTGATAATAAAAGCATAAATTTTATTATAAATGGTCCCATCAATTTCTATCTTTACCCCATAATAACTAACTTAGCTCCATAATAAACAGAATTTATAATTAAGGAAAAATTTTTCGTTGATTCATCACTTTTAAAATATAATGCATTTGCGAGAGCAATAGCAACAGTAGTTATTGCATACATTGCAACAGAGATTATTTCACAGTTGACTTCCTATATGGTTTTGTAGGAAACAGAAACTGATGAAAAAACTTGTCAGTGTCAGTGTGAAGTATATTGGTATCTTAATAAAAACAAATAAGTATTTTAATAAATGTACCGATTTTTTTCGTTCATCTAAAATCATTTCCAATAGTGTGACTTTTTCGTTCGAGTTATTGTATCTCCTTTTCTGTCTCAGAGTCAAGCTATCAAGTACTCTTTGAAGATCGGGGACAGTTGTGGTTGTCCTTAAATGACAATAATGGTATTAATAAACTTGAAAACTGCTACATACATTAAAATCTTACTTACCTACGTTACTGACATTAGGTACGACATTAGGTGCATTAACATTCGCCATTTTGATTTTTATTGAAAGAAATAAAAAAAAACACGTATTTCACCCTTTATAAGTATGAATTTTATGTCACATGTTAATTGTCATAATGACGACATTTATAAATAACTGTTACATAATATAATAAACCAGTAATCGTTAACTACTTATAGATCAATAGATCATTTGTGTATTATTACCGATTACAAGAGTTTGGATGTTTGATCAATGAATTCCTTAATTTTTAGTATCCTTTCTGGAATAACAATTTCCAGTTTTTGATCATATCATACCTAGAGAAGGAAAATTCCATTATCTTGACACATGCATCTTTTTTGCCGAGCTAGTGCTATGAAACCAATGCTGAGCCCCTTGCACTTCTAATGCAATTTGATATTTTTGGAAGAAGGCATCAAGCTTTAATCCTTACATGAACAAGGGGCGATATTCAATCATAGATTCCTCATTAAGAATTTCTTTAGCTGTCTGGATGCACCTGGTTTGGAATTTGATATTTTTCTTAATTTCTGATTCTTTTTTAAGTTCATTGAAATACCACTCTAGTTCCTCAATTCTAGCATTGAGTTCAGCATTCTCAACATCACATCTTTTACTCTCTTCCACAGCCTGTCTTAAAAGCTTGGCAATCCTGGCCTTAAGCTCAGCTTTCTTAAACTTAATCTCCGCAAACTTCCTTTTAAGTTCAGGGATCTCAGCATTCTCCTTTTTAAGTTCAGAAATTTTAGCATTCTCCTTCCTAAACTCAGCAATCTCAACTAAGAGCTTGGCATTTAATTCCTTTAATGAATTGTTAAATTGTGCATTAGATATATCAATAAATTTTATACAAAAATATGAAATATTTAAAATGAATAAAATATGTAATTTTAACCAGACGCCCAGCTGAAAATTGCCAAGAAAATTTATGTGACTTTGGAAGAATATCTTTTAGAAAATAATTATTGTCCACACATTTCAAAACCTTTATTTTTGGCATTATTAAGTAAATCTACCACTATTTCTATAGTTGTCAGTTGGTGTAATATTGCAACTGATCTACAACTTAACTATCCTTTTTTACCTTGCCCATTAGAATGATGAAATCAGTTATGTGAGTATCTATTTTATTTTTATAATATTCTGCTTTGGAGACAAGTTCATCTTGACTGGATACATCACGAAATACCTTCATACTAAAGAGTTTTTTCATTAAAGAATGATATGCTTTTTCTCTTAAATCATTGCATTAGTTTTCGAGCTTAATCGAAAGATTAATAAAGTTATCAATCCAAGGCATATTTTTTCGATTATATGATAATACTTCATAAACTTCATCAATTACTAGACCTTGACAAATAAGTTTTCGCAATTCTGTATCCGTTACCATCATACTTTTAGTCTAAAGCTCATTAGCTGATATTGAAGTTGCCAATGGTGTAGATTGAATATGTCTTTTATTCTTTTTATGAACCATAATCTTGACTTTAGAAGAGTGAATTCAAAATCTCAAAGAAAAAAATGAAGAGACAGATGCTATGCATAAATCAGCAAATCCTTCTGAGTTGGTGATTACTGCTCTAAACTAGTCAGAGTATAATCATTGGAGGAAGCATATTATTACTATAAACATCTTTATCTTCCGATTCAATTTCAAAGCCAGAGTTAGAAAAACATGTCTGACTCTTGCCAATTTTTTCCAAATATCGGGTAGCAGTATCTGGATTAATATATTTTATTTTAAGATATAATTCAATTTTCTTGATAGTTGTATTAGATACTTTATATTTGTAAATAACGAACTCTTATATCCTCAGACAAGAATGGATAATATTTCAAATTGTTATTTCAGAAAATTCTTTGCGACTAGAAACATTCAGATATTATAATTTATGGCATGAATTTGCAATTGCATATAGACCTTTATCAGTTATTAATCTATTACTATCATACTCTTTTAAGTTGAGATACTTCAGATTGGGATATGATTCTGCTATTCAGTTTATTGTTTTATCAGTAAATCTTACACTATAATATAAATTTAAATGAACTATATTTTGGAATAGACCTACAATACTTTTGAATTTTTTATCTGAAAGATTGTAATCTGGAATTTCTAGATAAGTTACATTCAAGCAATAAACTGAATTTTGCTTTTCATGTATTATTTTCATAAAAATATTTTGTGCATTAATCCTTTTTAGCTCAATGTGTTTTCATAAAATAGGAGTACCACATCTGTATCACAATCGGGAAATATATAAAGTGAGATAGAGGAATTTATCTATTGCTAAGAAATATAAAGTCTTTTCTAGTAGTTCTGCTATATTAAAAATGCTTGATTGTGTCATAAATAATCTGTATTATATCCTTCATATTCAAACAAAAAAAAATCTTCTAACTTAGTGAACATCATCCTAAATCACTATTTTACATAGGCTAATATTTTACTTTTTGTAATGGGATTGCAAAATTATTATCTAATAATATTTTTGAATTGCATATATCCAAAGTAGCACCACTTTTTCACAATCAAGGCCCTCCTAAAATTAAATTAGGTCCCGGCCAATCTAACTCAAGAACCATAAATTCACTGGGCCTAATGCTTTTATGTTTTTTATTATCATTAAAACTAATGTGCAGATTAACCTTTCCTAATATAGAATAGGTTGCATCCAAAGTTTTAATATTATTATTTTCACAGTGATATGTAATTTCTAATTCAGAAATATATTTATAACTAATGTATTTAGTAGGGTTCCTCAAAATCGAATCAAATCAAATCAAATCAAATCAAATCAAATATTTGATCGAATCAAATCAAATATAAAAAATTTTTTAATTTTTATAATGATATATTAAAATAAAGTTATTATAAAGGTTTAATTAAGAAAATTATTAGTAATTGCACTAAAAAATTTCAAAAATAGCTTTTACAAAGTAAGTTTAGTAACAGGTGAATTTTTACTATTAAACTTAGTAAAATAACTTTGCAATCTCGGTTTTACTAAGAAAATTTAGTAATAACCACCATCGCAACTTCGGTTTACTAAGAAAACTTAGTAATAACTGCCATCGCGGCTTCAATTTTACTAAGAAAACTTAGGAAAAACTGCCATCTCGGCTTCGTAACTATTTTATTATTAAAAAAATATTTCTGAAGCCGCAGAGGCGTTTTTTTACTAGTTTTTCTTAATAAAAAAAGGTTCTGAAGCTGTGGAGGCGTTTTTTTACTAGATTTCTTAGTAAAAAAAGGTTCTAAAGCCGCGGAGGCATTTTTTTACTAGGTTTCTTAGTAAAAAAAAACGTTTCTGAAGCTGCGGAAGCGTTTTTACTATGTTTTCTTAGTAAAGTAACGTCTTCAAAAGTCATGAAGGCGTTTTTTACTATGTTTTTCTTAGTAAAAAAGGCATTTCCAAAGCCGCAGAAGTGCTTTTTACTATCATTTTCTTAGTAAGAATCACTCCTGAAGCTTTGTACTATTGATTCGATTCAAATCAAATATTTGAATACTTGATTTGAATTTGATCAAATCAAATCAAACATTGATTTGAATTTGATTAAATAAATCTGTCTTTGATTTGAATTTGATCAAATCAAATTGCGGAACCCTAAGATTTAGTCATTTGATTCAGATCATTTGTTATTTCAAAAAAAATTTTTTGTCAATTTGATCCTTTTTCCCAGCACTCATCCCAAATTCAGATAGTAATTGTATTAAAAAATGATATTATTTATCTAATATAAAATTTTGAACTTATTTTATTATTATTTGCAATTTTTTATTTATATATTAAATTTTGTATATTAAATTAAAAATAGCTTAGATATTTTTAGGTAATCTTTATATATTTAATGATACTTTTAGATAATCTTTATAAATTCAATAAATATTTTTTTTAAAAAAATTCTGAATAGAAGGTTGCTCATACTTATCCAATTCTAAAAACCATAAGTTAGAATTATGATTTTGCTAAAACAAGACTTATTATACTATTGGAATCTTCTAGAAAAGCTATGGCTAAAGTTATTATCAATTGATTCTCTCATATAATGACCAAACATAATATTCTAAAAGAGAACAACTTTGAAATAATATATATTTAAATTGAGATCTTATTATTATTCAAATTAGAATTATCAGATTCACTTTCAAATATATTAATTATAAATTATTAATTTTTTGAATCAAAAATATTAAAGACAATAATAATAAAGAAAATTCTAAAATTATTTTTTCTTTATAATTATTATTTAATTTTATATATATATAATAATTTCTGATAAAATAATAATCAGAAATTATTATAACAGAATTTTCAAAAATTCTAAAATCAAATAATTTAATTATATTATATTCTTTTATATTTAATATATATATTTTTAAATTTACAATTAATATAATCAGCTAATTAATTATTATAATTATATCATTTTTAATTAATAAAATAAATATAATATAATAAATCAAATAGTATAAATGAATATTTTTATGATTAGCTATTATTTTAATAAATAATATTATAGTCAAACCTTGATATAGCGAACACTTGATACAGCGAATTTTAAATCAAATATATTAAAATTACCTTACTATAGTGAACTAGCCAATTAAATTCTTTAAAAAATTCGTTATAAACTTATAACGAAGTTGATATCCAGATCTTAGAATTTGTTATATCAAGAGTTCACTGTAATTATATTTGGTTAAAATTATTTACTTCAACTTGAAAATAAGTTTTATATTATTATATTATACTTTTTTTTTTAATTAATACACCATTTTTTGTACTATTTTTTATAAATATGATATCTAAAATTCTTAGGTCTTATTTTATTATTAATTGCATATATATAAATATTAGATTTTATGTTATTATAAAGCTTGTATATATAAAATACTATAAAAACTAAATATTACAAATATATTTTTATCTTGAAATAAAAAAATAACTTTAACATCTATATTATTGTAATATAATAGAAGCTAATATGAGTCAATAAAGATATAAAAAAGTATCAATTCA